CAGATATGTATCTGCGTGTGTGTCTGTATATATATATATATATATATATATATATATATATATATATATATATATATATATAAATATATATATCTGTGATATGTATAGAAACATACGTATACAGAAATATAGATGTTTTTATAGGAAAGAGTCAATGAGTACTTCCTTAATCATAACCTTCCTAATATGAAGAGATTAGATTGATAAAAAAGCGAACTGAATGACCTTCGTGCACGAAGATGCCCTCATAGAGATAGTTATGTCGAGCCACAATTGTTTATGTATGTATAGACACACGATCTTTGTTGACGCCTCTATGTAGAAATTATAACACATGCATATATGTATGCATGTAGGTATGTATACACGATTATATTATGTACATACACGAAAATCTACTAAAAATTGAAATGTAATATATATATATATATATATATATATATATATATATATATATGTGTGTGCGTGTGTGTGTGTGTTGGTTGACAAATAATATTTTGGGGTCGACCAAGAATATATTAAGAAAATAGTTTCTGATTTTTTGGTCAGATTTTTTTTGGAAATGGGTCAAGCAGGTTAATTTTCAGTGACTCCTCAAACATATATATATATATATATATATATATATGTGTGTGTGTGTGTGTGTATGTATGTATGTATGTATGGGGGATTTCAAATTACTGTATTAAATGTAGCATTAATATTCTCGATTATTTACAAATTTATTTACCTCAAAATATACAATAGAACAAACACCAGTAATCAATAATATTGAATTGCAATTCATAAAACAGTCTAAAACAGAACGACGGAAAAAGAATGCATAGATTTTTGTGAAAATATAAAGAATTAATACGCCTACTCAACACCCACGCAACACACACACACACACACACACACATATATATATATATATATATATATATATATATATATATATAATGTGTGTGCGACACGCATAGATTCCGACCTGTATTTTTTATCCTACAAAACTTTTTATCTCATTTATAATGTTTATGACGCCAGTCGGCACATATTAACTTAGTTGCAAGTATAAATTAGTTAACTCCAAATTGTTTTATTGATTGTTTTTTTTACTGTTTATCAACCCATTACATGTCTTTAAAAGACAGAAAATATTTTTTTAAATTATAAGAACTTTTCATTTTTGAGAAAATTATTGTTTAGTGATATACACGATTATATTATGTATATACACGAAAATCTACTAAAAATTGAAATGTAATATATATATCATTATTAATTAACCCATTGCAGGAGGGAAAAGATGTGAACTCACATCTTTCTCCAAGAGTATTTGTCCGTAAGTGAATATAAAATAACCAACAGGAATTGGAACTCGGCTCTCCGATTAAGTATTACAAGACGCTGTCCATTACACCAGCCGCACATCCAAATTTACAATACCCGATATTCCCATACGGTGACCCATTTAGTAACTGACCAGTCTTTTCTGTTCGTACGAGGACCTGTGTTTCGATAACATGTGACCAAAAGCCTCCAAATTGAACCCCTGGTCTATGTGATCTTTTAATCGGACCAAATGTCGAATTCACGTGGCACAGTTGATTTTTTTACCTGCCTATGCAGATAGATATAGTAGCATATTGATACGAATTGTTCTGGCCAAGGAAAACTTTTTAGCAGCACGCAACCCTACCAGAAAATGACGCGTACATTTGTATACATATACGTATGAATATATATATATATATATATATATATATATATATATATATATATATATATATATATATATATATATATATATATATATATGTGTATCAGGTGTATGTAAGGATTTCCAGTATTGTTTATTTACCAACAGAAATTGGTTTCCTTATGTTTTATCTTTCTTCAGTTTTTATGTCGGTCCTGACCTGGGAGACTTTGAGCGCACCTAACGGACTTACACAGACACACACATATATATATATATATATATATATATTACATTTCAATTTTTAATCACATCAACCTATATTATACAGTGAAAGTTTCAGATCAAAATTCACCTTAATGCAACGTATCAGGATACGCATTTATTGAGGCATTTTAGGGTGCATATATATATATATATATATATATATATATATATATATATGTGTGGGGGGAATTAGTAAATAGTGTACATACACGCACAAATACTTGCTGGCACGTAAGTATATTTATTCGTCAGGTGCAAATACAGTGCTCAATGTCATGAAACAGAGCAATAAGTATATACTAGGGGATATACATAATATCCAACGTCGATAACACTATTCGGTGTTTTATACAATTAATGCAATCTTCAGGTGTGGAGAATCTTGACGTTGGATATTATTTGGATATTATGTATGTTCATATATATATAACGTCATCCACAGACAGACTGTTTCGCAGCTCATCAGTGTTTGCTAGACATCCGGTTGCCTCTAGCAAGGATCGAAACCCGACTGAATTGGTCGGAGATTCTAGCGCTAAGCTGTAGGGATGAAAGTGTATTTTAGCGTATTTATTTTAAAACACGCACAGTGACCGACAGTGACTCAATATATATATATATATATATATATATATATATATATATATATATATATATATATATATATATATATATATATATATATATATATATATATATATATATATATATATATATATTTGCACCCTAAATGCCTCAATAAATCCGTATTCTGTCCTGTTACGTAGTTTTATAAGGTGAATTTTGATCTGAAACTTTCACTGTATAATATAGGTCGATGTGATTAATAATCCCCACTGAAAATTAAGTGCAGTGACAGAAGAACCTTATGTTGAAAAGTATTTTTTACTAAATTTTTTTTTCTTCCATCATTAGGTTACAGACTTAGTGATGAGCCCCCACGCGAACACTCACACATATACAGGCATATGCACTCATGCTCATATATGTGCACACAACAATACGCACACGCACACAATTGTAGCTGTAGTATTTACATATGTTTCTAGTTGTAAAATCTTTCTTTCTATATTCGTGAATATTTAAGTGCATTTAATCCCCTAAATGTCTTTATCCCATACAAGCCAACATAAAAAAAAACCATTTCCTCTGGCAGACGCCAACTCTTTCTTGATTAATTGATATATAAATTGTACTTACCATTCTATTCTGTGTGATTTTTTTCTAAATTTAAGGCAGAGCTTAATTCTTGAAGACTTTTCTGGTATCTCCTTCCTTCCTGTTGTTCATTTAAATAAGAATTACTTGGAGTTTCCACATCCTGAACAGTAAAATCGTTCGAAAACTAAAAGTCACCGGGAAACATTTTATTAGCTTTGCACAAAGTTCTTTTGTATTTCCATTTTGAAAAAATAAAGGATACACATAAAAATACATAAGTATACATATATGTATATATTGATATTCACTAAGATGAGCTTAAGATTTATTCTTTATCTCTAAGCGACGCTGTTTATTTAACAATCATACAATAACGATCTAAGGCTTGCGATAAATGGTAATGGGAGAAAATAGTAATTAACAAAAATGTAAATGCAGATATTTATCAATCTCAGCATATAAAGGAACAAAGCTCCATATAATGGTGAATATGTGCTGGATTAATATTTCCGTACAGGAGCAATACATCTAGAACATTTTTCCCCTTTTTCCTTATTCACGCCCCTTTCCTTGTTTACGCCACATTCTTGGACCCTCTTCCAAAATTGATGAAAAAAAAAATACTCATCTCATATCTAAATAAGAAAATCATTTTTTATAAATTCAGTTTAATTCAACTCTCTTTAGTAGTTTATAAACTAACCCAACAACAATTAACGAATGTCGACTGAGTAATGCCATTAGAGAGTGTCTGTTTTCGTATGCGAAGTAGAGTCTCCGCTAGTTAGTTGTCAAGGCCGCGCAACTGGTTCCCATTTAGTAGGATGTTTTCTGAAGGTATTTTGTATACTTGTTTGTGTAGACGGGCGTTAAAAAACTAACAAAACTGCAGGAATCTTTTGATGGAGAGAAATATTTTTTTTGGTTGAGCTTAGAACTTTTCAATCCCCTCCCCACCTCATATAGTTAAATCAATGCAGCCTGACTTTGCGTTAGTTCCTATCTATCTAGTTGGATGGGGGAGCAGGTGCTTGATCATTCGTCAAGGTTGAAAATAACTTCGAACAATTTATTTGTATCGAATTGGCATTTTATTTACATTAACAAAACTCATACATGAATTTATCAATATTTCCCTGCGTATTTTGAAAGTGGATTAGACTTCTTATTTGTTGATCAAATCTTGGATTAAAATGCAGTTTTCGGAGTTACATTCATACCTGATTGCTTAGTATTATTAATATTTTCAAAGTTTAATCTAGTCTGACACAAGGCCACATCAGTGAGGATCGAATTCGATACAGTACTAGGGGCCTGCGGGACTACTTTGCCCAATTGTTACGTGTGACTATATTTCATGATATTAATAGTGTATGAATCTCTCTCTTTCTCTCGCCCTCTCTCTCTTTCTCACTCTCTCTCTCTCTCTCTCTCTCTATCTATCTATCTATATTCATTAACTATCTATCTATCTATCATATTATATTCATTATCTATCTATTTATCTGTCTGTCTATCTCATTATATTCATTATTTATTTCAATATATTCATTACTAAGTTTGTTCATATCTATCTATCTATCTATTTATTTATTTCAGTCTGTTCATATCTATATATCTATATATTTCAGTCTGTTCACTATCTATCTATCTATCTATCTATCTATCTATCTATCTTTATTCATTATCTATCTATCTATCTATCTATCTATCTATCTATCTATCTATCTATCTATCTATCTGTCTGTGAGGTTCTGCGCCTTTGCTCATAGAGTAAACAATGTTCAAATAAAAGCCGTAACTTTACAATGTCCAGAAAATGGAATGGATTTGCCAAATTCATTTCAATCAATACTGAACATTGGTGACCCTTGAAAATGTCCCTAAAAAATTAATCGTACAATAAGAATGGGACCACAATAAAAAGAAAAAAAGAAAAAAGGCTAGCAGTAAGGAAAGAATGAAAGCAACGAAAAGACATACTGATAAAAAAAGAAGTGTAATCAAGGGGGGGGGGAATTGAGAAAGAGAGAAAAAGAAGACAAGTTGGGCAAATAAAGAGAAAAAAGAAAAGAAAAGGACTAAGAAAAACAAAAGAATAGAAAAAGTGTCAGAACAGGAAGAGAAAGAAATAAAATGGCGAAGAAGTAGAAGGCAAAGGGAAGCACAACGAAGAAGAAAAGAAAAGGAGAGAGAAAAGTAAAGTGAATGATATGAAAGAGGAAGAGGGTAAGAAAAAAAAGTAGGAGAAAAGAAGAGGAAAAGAATGGACAAGGAGGGTGAAAAAAAAGCAAGATGAAAATAAAGATGAGGTACTCTAAGGTAGAAAAATAAAAAAAAAGTTGAAAAGTCTACGTAGAAGGAGTCTGAGGCAGGAGTATAAAGAAAGAGAAACAGAAAAGCGTAAGAAAAGGAAAAAGAGGCTACGCGATAACGATTGATTTATTTGAACGCATATCTTTGGCGCATGCGCATGTTACTTTCCCCGAAAGTGCATTCTTTTCCTAGTTTCTTTTCTCTCCGCCCGACATTGCTACAAGCAAAAATTAATTTCTTATTATCTTCTTTAATCTAAAAACACAAAAATCGTTTCGCAGTCAGTCGAAAAGTTTTACATCATTTTGGACTTTTTAGAAAACAACTGAACATTTAGTTAAATAAATAAACCAAGGCATTTCGTCTATTAAAACGAAAACAGGGAAAAATATTAGTAATAATAAAACTGATCACAATAGCAGAAATAAGAGAAAAAATTCCGAACGATCTAATATTGATAACGATAAGTACAATAATAAATAAAAAGAAATAAAAAATAAACGGATGTATTTCTTTATCAGAAAAGAATTTTGAAAATATTACCATATATTTTCTTTCGAAATTCATCTGCAGCATGGGATATAAAATTTTTATACTCAAAACATAACTTTACAAACTTTTAAAGAATCTAAGACTTTTTTTAAAAAATGGTGGATCTACAGAAAGATGCTGAGCATACCATAGACGAAGCATGTGAACAACAAGGATGTTTTAACAAAAATGGAAATGAAAAGGACACTTATGCTTAAAAACAGTTGAAATTTCTAGGGCACAGAACACAAACGGAGTAATAATAAGAACAAAGCGGTATGGAGGAGAGGAAACAGTGGAGAGCCATGATCGTCTACGTTTTGAAAGAAGATATTTAGCAAAAAATGACGTAAATAGAAATAATGACAGAAGCATATTTCCCATTGAAAAAGATCTGTCTCTCGAGATGTTTCGAAAGCCTAGCATAGTGTCGTACGGTATCCAAGTTCGAAATCACTGCTCTAGTGTTTTGGCTTGCAAGGCAAGCTTGTTAACCATTATCCTACGGCAGGTGCTTTTAGATATTTACTAAGGCCATAATAATTATGAAACCAGTAAGAATACATCGCATCGCATTATAAACAAACTATGAACTTAACTTGTTTACATTCCTTCTGTATCAGTCGTTCTAGATTTACTTAGCTGAAACTATTTCGGAACAAGGCTACAAAGTTTGAGCAGCTAGGTCGGGGACACTAAAATTAAGTAAGTGCGGAAATTTAAATATCTGGGAAGTGTTCTGACGGAAGGTGGTAAGTGTGACACTGAGATCCGAAAACGTATTGGGATGGCCAAAGATGCATTGCAAAAGCTAAGCAGGGTATTAAGAAACAGAAGGGTTCCATTGGTAACAAAGAAAAGACTACAGAACTGCTACGTGATATCTGTCCTCCTTTACGGCAGCGAATGTTGGACGATCTCCTCAAAGATGAAGAAGGGACTCGAGGCAATGGAAGTACGGGAGAATGCTAAGGATACCATGGACTGAACATGTGAGCAACGATGTTTTGGAGAGGATGCAAACAAAGAGGAAACATCAGGAAGAGGCAGCTGAAATTTATGGGACACATAATGAGAAAGGAAGACTTGGAAACTCTGATACTCACAGGGCAGATAGAGGGAAAGATGGACAAGAGAAAGCAATGCGTGTCATACTTAGCGGCCTTAAGCAAGTTGATGGCAGAACAGGGTCTGAGAGAAATAACAAAAAACAAAGCATATTGAGATCTACAAGGGATAGGAGGAAGTGAAGAGCCATGATCGCCTACATCCTGAAGGCACACCGTACATAAAAGAAGAAGTGAGCATTAAAGTGTAAAACAATCTTAGAATCTTTACGACAAGCAAGTTTCATCGAGGTAGAGATCCATTTTCTTGACAGAAATGCTAAAAGGGAATATAACCGATTTCAAGATCAGTTTCAACGCTGATTTCCAAGCGTTCTTGTAATTCCAATGTTAATATCAACGAACCTGTCAATAGCAAACGGTCTTTCCGAAAATTACCTCACCATTTTGTGTATCTTATCTCTGAATTCTTCACATCTCGTGAAAGGGGTGTTGGCAAACATTGCATTACTCTGGTGTGGTTTGACTTCTGCAACATCTGGTTTTTCTCAACGATAAAATCGCAGTTGAAAAGGACGTTGCGGGTTGTGGATGTGATTAAGAAGAATGCAACATGACATCTGATGACGATCCAGAAACGGGATTTTTTTTGTTGCTTCAAGTGGAAAGGACGCTGAAATAAGTGAGTGGAATTATCCTAAGTTGATTGCTTCTTCGTTAATATTAAATGGCAGGTTCATTTCTGAACTAAACTTGTATACACGTGCTGAATTGTCTTCACGAAGATGGAAAAATTAGTACAGAAACGAAACATAATGAGGTCGATACAGACGACCAGAATAAAAATTACAACTAAAGAAAGAAAGAAAGAAAGAAAGAAAGAAAGAAAGAAAGAAAGAAGTGGCGTGATCTGTAAGTGTCTGGGAAACGATGACAGTGTTAGTTGAAAATTAGATAAGTAATATTAAAAGATGCTTTGTGAGAAATTCAATGATGTGAACCATACCACGTTCTTTTAAAAAATGAATCATCGTCAAGTAAAATTAATTAAACTTATTTGTTTACATTAAAGTTCCGGAGTATTTTGAAAATTTGATGTCACTCACACTTCAGTTGTTACAGGTGCAGAAATCATAATCATAATAATACTAATGATAATAATAATGTTCTTGCTACACAGGACCAAAGCTTGCTAACTAGAAATTGCCAATGACGGCAAGATAAGCTTCTTCATGGTCAATACACTGCCTGTACGAAACAAGCTGATGTAGACAAACACCATACCGATCAGTGGTTACTTAGGGCAAGGTTAAAAGCTGAAACCGAAGGTTTTATTATTACTATACAGGATCAATGTACGAGTGTACTGAAAAATTGTGTTGACCCCAAATGTAGATTCTGTGATAAATATCCAGAAACAATTAACCATCTTGTATTAGGTTTCACGGTGTTAGCACCCACTGAATATAAAACTTGGTACGATAGAGTGAGTCAATATGTGCACTGGAAAATATGCCACTTTTACGTGAAGGAAACTGCAAGAAACTGACATGAACATCACCCAGCCCAGTTTACAAAGATAGGACCTGTAACAATTTTATGAGACTTTGCAATACACACACAGATCGGCCAGACATTGTGACCAAAGACCAGAAAAACCAAATGTGCTTTCTTATTGACATGGCAGTCCATGCAGATTGTAATGTATCTTTGAGGATCTTCAAAAAACTATCAAAATACAAGAATCTTAAAGTGGAAATCTCAGAAATGTGGCACATGAGGACATCAATAAATAGTTGGAGCTCCAGTTTGATTGGAAAATATTTCGATAGACACATTGAAGGGATTCCGGGTAGCCCATGCCTTAAATAAATACAAAAATTGTACTCACAAGTACAGCTCACACATTAAGAAGAGCTTTATTGGAAAATGTGTGTGATCTTATTTTATTGTTTTTTTTTTAATTCATTTTTTTATTACAAAAATGATCAATGGAAAATGTCATGGAGCCATTTCTGAGATTAGGTCTCACGTTGGGACCAGGAAGGAAATGTGTATACAACAGAAATCCAATGAAATAATAATAATAATAATAATAATAATAATAATAATAATAATAATTTTGTTAATGTAAAAAAAAAAGAACGTATCAGATGTAGTCTTTGTTGTTCTGGTGTACGATAAATGAAACTGAATGAAAACGAACAGCGGGATATCTTAAACTTGAAAATGAAAAAAAATCAAGGCACATAAAGGGAACAGTTGTATTAATCATGACCAGAGCCTTGGGATCAATTCTAAAGATCATAACAAATAGACTGAAGGACTTAGCAATCCAGGAAGGATCAGGGTCATCCCGGAAGGATCAAGGCCACCCAGTCGGCAACACCGTTAAAGTCGGTTAGAATACTGAAGAAAACAATAGTGTACTGGGAAAATGACTTGATTTCAAATGAAGAACACCATTTGGACTTATCTCCGACCTTTTGAACAGCAGTAGAGTTTTATCCCTTGTTTCCTGTTTGGGATTCGGCATCCGTTTCCCTCCCAGCAGCTCCTTGCATCTTTGTTGCGTTACCTCCTTGCTTGGGGTGAATTGATTAAATAATAATAATAATAATAATGCTGGGTGCTGAAGATTCGAGAGTTCTTGCTGTCACTTAATTCCGAATAAGATCGTTACATGTCTTTAACGTAAAATCCAACGATTATGATAATAATGAAAACAGTACGATTAGTGAACTTATACCTCTACATATATTACTATTTAGAAAATCAATAAAAACAATGAAAGTAATAAAATAACAAAAGCTAATACTCCATACATGGGTAATTTTTAAAAGAGTTCAGATCGGCGGCATTTTTTTCTTTTTCCCTTTCTTATGGGACGACACAAAAATCGCAATATGTTTGCTAAAACGTACGGCGAAAAATCTACGCTTACAATCTTATTTACTTATAGGCCCGTCACATGTAA